ATATCGTGACTAGTTGAGCGACTGTCAGCTTCTCGAGTAGGGCGTGAAGCTACTACTCGTAGGCAGATTTTCTTTTTTAGTAAATTACAGATCAGTGGTGTAGGAAGTGGCGGAGTACGGGTGTCTCCTCGTTCCTGTAACCCATTCTATTGTGTTCAGTTTTAACCGTTTAAAGCCCATTGGTAATTATATGTACCACGTGTTGAAACGATCACAAACTTTGAATTTCGTATTTATGTGTTTCGTGTGATCCTCAGAATAAACAGCGGTTATTTCCTTGAACAGCGTTAACCAGTTGATCTATGTAATGGTGAAGTGTCGTGTTTTCTTCGCGGTAGGGACCGAATTCTTAAATACTATTTAGATTAGCGTTGGCTTCCAAGGGGAAATGAGTATCAGCTGCGCGTTGCTGAAACACGCTCGCCACAAGTTACGTACGACCAGAGAGTTCGAACGCCGTCGTTGTGACCTTAATAAACACGCAACAGATGCAATAAGATGGAGCACGTCAGTGCGGAATGCGCTGCAGCTCGTTACGTGTCATGCGAGGGGCACACCCTCATTATTCAGATCCTTGGTGATCGAGAATCTGTTGGACTGGCGTTCCACAGGACGGACGCCAGCGCAAAGTTTTATTTGCGTTCCAGGGCCTGTCATTCGTATTGAAGAGACGAAACCCACGACACTTGACCTCCACTTTTCTAACTGCTACAGGAGACTTAGAAATATGTTTAGTATTTTCTCTTTACCACTGAATTCAAAATTTTCTTGGGGGGGGGGGGGGGGGGGGGCATGTGGCGAATGGAGACGAATTGCTTTCTTTGTGGCAGGAACTTAAATGTTATTAAAACAAACTGCTCAACTTCTCTCCTTACCTCCAATGCAACTTTTCCAGAAGGACAAGCGGGCTCTGCATGGGAACCTTCAGCAACCGAAAGTTTATCTCTGTCTCCTCCCCCGGTCTGAAAGGCGTCTCGTCGCTTCGTATTCCGTCATTTGTTCGCGCTGCAGAAGGTTAAGTAATTGAGGTTAAGTGTGCTTCAGTACACATTCCTATCTCCATTTATCTGAAATGCGGAACTTTTAGTTCTGTCTGTTCTGCACGAACTGAAGTGTTTCTGGTTCCTTTGTCCTCGGCTGGTCAGTTGGGTCGTAAAATTAACTGTACTTTGACGTGGTCCTACATCGCAGACGACTGGCGTCTTCCTAATTGCGTGCGTCGCTCCTTACCTGAATGGCCCTGTTGCCTACCTTTTGTTGGAAACCAAAGCATTACTGAGTTAAAATTGTCCCAGTGGTAACTGAAGTGGCGAATTGACGTTGGCTGGAAACAAAAACCACGCACAGAATTTTGCCTTTAATTCTGGATGCGGTCTGAAGTGACTCAGGATTGGCTCCGCTGGTTGAGTCATCGGGTTTTATTATGAAAGAATCGGTCATCTGCCTCCCTAATGACATGCGCTGTGTTTTGATATCGACCTTGCTTCAAATCCCAGAAGCTTTTTTGTTTTTGGTACTTTTCATTTTGTCCGAATAGCTCTCGCATGGAACTTCACGATCTGCGGTTTTGTGAAGTTTGTTTGGCTAAGAATGTTAAAATTACATTTCTTGTAGCTTTAAATGTGTTTCCTTTTCAGCAGCAAAGAAAGTAAACAACAATTGACCAAAGCAACAAAGCAGACCAGACTCTGTTCACGGCCTGTTTGATTCTTAAGTGTCGTCTTGCGCTACATTGTTGGAATGCGTTGGCGTTTGAATTCTCTTAACAACAGAAAGAGAACGCGTTTCTATTCAGGCCTTTAGAATATACAGACACTGGAATTCCAGGCGAAATGATGCGTCGTTGCTAAAACGCTTAAAGTCGTTTCTATGCCAGACACTTGGTAATTGATACTAAAATTCAAGCAGAAATTGTCAACTTGCGCTTTACATCTGGACATTTTGATGTGATTTGTGATAAGAACTCTTATTTCGTCCTCGTGTCTTTGATAAGACGTTTTATTTTTCCGTTGCAGCAAAATTTGAATCGGAAATCGACTGTTGGGAATTTTGAATTCGCCTACGCTAGAAGTTCTGACCTGCTCCTCCGTTCTCCCCCGTCCGCAGTTCTTTCTTCAAAATGAGATTTGAGTCAACTAAAGAACAATGTTAGTGCCCGCTAGGTCCGTATCTGACGCCAGTTCAATCCACTCCACGCCTGTGTCCAAGCCTTTTCCCCTGCGGATTTTTACTTGCCGGTAAAATGTCGCTCACATTTATCGCTAACTCACATGCGTGCTACATGTCCAGCCCGTCCAATGCTCCTCGATTTTATCTCCCTGCTGAAACCTGATGCAGAATACAGATTTCGAAGCTCCTCAGTTCTGCTTCTTAGCGTCAGGGCGACTGTGGCCTCGGACCTCCTCACCGCTTCTTTGCCGCGTTCCTCAGACAGGGAGCAGAGGTCACCGTGTCGACCTCGAGACCCTAACTAGTCCCCGTCACGGCGAAGAATATTGGACGACCTCAGGTTCCTGGCAGCGCCTGCCCTTAATTCTGGTGTACCTTCCCCACTAGAAGTCTGTGCCGCACGTCCTAATACCCGAGTGACGTCCGCGATTTGACCCACCGAGAGGCTGAAGGATACTTCGTAATGAGGAGATTCATAATTTGTGTTTTAAAAGGCGAAGAGACAAGGAATTTCTTGACCAGCTGAGCGACCATCAGTTTTTCCTGGACCGAGTGTGAATCGTCTGGGATATTGCGCCACGTCTTGTGAAAGTCTGTCGACGTTTCAGAGGTGCGAACTACCTGCATCATTAGGGATATGATGGAGGCATCAAGTACCTCTGAAACGTCGATAAACGTGTACCATGGCGCAACATCCCAGAAGACAGTCGTCTTTAAATACTGGTTTGTAGTTATGTAATATCCTCCACTCCCTGCTGACTTCCTTTCTATTGAATACAAATAGTTTCCTTATCGCTTTCTTATCTAATATTCTTTGTATCCTAGATAAGAGAGATCCTGTCTGTCTCCCAGGACGCCGAAGTTAAATTCTCAGACGACGGATAGAAAAGTTGCGGGGCCAATCGGAGGATTGGCCTTTTCATCGGAATGCGGCCAACAGCAAGACCGGAAATTTGTACTCTTTGGAGTACACTGACGTTCCAAAACTGTTCTTCGAGGCAGATCGTTGTTGTACTGATTTGATTTAAACGTGGGTGGGGCACGAAACTCTCATGGGGGATATAAAAATGCGTACAAAATTTTGGTTGGAAAGCCTGAAGGGTGTGCACAGGTTAGCATGGTTAATGACGTCTTCATCGTCCGGCCCCACAAATGTCAGCATCCATCGCGTTTGATTTTTTTTAAAATTGTGTGAAATTAAATGACTTTGGGTCAGCCTCAAATGTCATGAAAATCCGTCCTCATATTCTCAAGATATTTCATGCAGATTCCGGAAACAACTGCGAGCTTAATTTGAACTTATTCCGGGTTTGCTCACAAAGTGGATATGCATACAGACAGACATTGGGCATGGCCATCAAGGTCTGCAACGTCACGCATGCGCAGATGAAAAATTATGATGTTCTAGCCGTTCCATCTCACCGAATAGGATCGAACAATCCGACAGGAACAAAGTGCAATGTTGATAAAATCCCCTTCCACCCATGACTTACAGCATCCGGATCATTGGCATTCAAAATTGTAGGAAGTAGTTCGGAACGATTTTTTAAAAGCCTCAAAAATGGCGGAACTCCGACAACAAATTTGATATGAAAATCCATGCAACGATTCACGACTAACCTAACCTGACATTCAAGGTCGATAACATTATCGAGTACGCGCACATTTTCATGGGTAATGACGGCTTCTTCTCTCCTCAAGACTTCCAGCTTGACGTTTCGAACTAGGCTCCAACGGCATACTCCCCATACGAAGTTTCATAAAATTCCGTCCATTCGTTCCCGAGTTATGTGGCCGGAACTCTGCCGTCGCTCGGAAAGCGTTACTCGACAGACTGACAGAATAATGCAAGAAATTTCTTCATTAATGTTCGCCGCTCCGAAACGTCAGTTTCGAAGTAATGAAAATCGGATGTGGACTGTATTCCGGAAAAAAGTTGTCAGTGGAACCACGGTTCCGGAGAATTTGACGTAAATACGTCTATACGGAAAGGAAGTTTATATATTGGCTTTATTCTAAATATTTCCTTTATACATGCTTTACAATTGAGATAAGTTTGATTAAAACATTGCTTAATCAACTTGAATTAGTTACGCTTAAGATGGGTCTGTGGTAGCTGAATGTAATGTAAGGTAAGGTAAGGGAATGTAAGGTAAGGTAAGGTAAGGTAATGTATTGTAATGTAATGTAAGGTAAGGTAACGTAATGTAATGTAAGGTAAGGAAATGTAATGAAATGTTTTATAGGTAACAACAATGCCGAGTAAATAGATGACGTTTCCTAGGTAACAAAAATGCCGAGTAAATAGATGGTGCTTAGGTAACCATTATTGTCGATTTGTTGATAAACAGATGAAGTTTCCTAGGTAACCATTGTTGTTTATTTGTTGATAAACCATTGTTACACTTTTTCGTTCTCCTTTTTGCCGAATGACACTGTGACCCTAAAATATAGACGTATTTACGTCAAGAAAACGCGAAAGTCACAGTGACTCTGGGCAAACCGCAGTTTGTGAATGAATAAGCAGATTACGATATATATTTCGTAACAATGGCGATGTTGCAATGTGTCTTTACCGGGGAGCTCCAAGCATATAAAACGTATTTCGCAGTTTGTGCTTTTGTTCGTGAGGGATCCGAGAGGGTAATGACACTCAGAAAGCGGCAGGGGCTGGCTGCCTAGAGCTAGCACCCTCTCGATAATTGAGGGTGTGTCGCGACTGCTGGAGTCAGTGCAGCTCCAGCGTCCACCATTGCTTTTGGGCGGGGTCTCCAGTAGTTTCCGGTACGGCCGCACTGAAAGCGAGCTTCAACGACTAGCGTTGTACGTGACGTCATGGCTTGGGTCTGCCTGACGTTTTGTCAGTGAGCGCGAGTGGTAGCATTGTGGCGGAGAAGCCTTGTGATCCTAGCAGCTCAAAGTTAATATGGCGAGCGAAGAGAATGGTTCGGGCACGGTCCCTCAAACGGATTCAACGCAGAACGACAGTAATAAGCAAGAAGCCACGGAACCGTTGATGGCTGCAGGTCCAGGGGGCGAGCAGCAACCGGTCACCAAACCGGCGGTGCACAAACAGAACTACGAAAAGGATGTAATTTATCTCTACCAGTTCTCCCGCACCCCTGTGCTACCTTCAATGTCGCCCTACTGCCTCAAGGTGGAGACCTGGTTGAGGTTGGCTGGGCTCAAATACGAGGTAAGTCCCATGGCCTTGAATGTCATTGAACCCTTTCAAGATGGTGCAACTGGGGGCCAAAGCGAGGACCCACAATGTCCGCGGCCCAACGTTTGCTCTAACGGAGATTGTAACGGACGTTTGCGGGGCTTTATCTGAATTGTGCTGGCCAATATCTTGAGTTTATTAATTGATCTGTTAGCAGTACCCCCCACCCCTCTCCATACAGTGCTGAAAGTTTAGATGTAATTGAGCAGGGCGGGGGAGGAAGGAAAGTTCGAGAAGTATGGAACCCATTTGTGAGTGGCCCCATGGCCTCCACCCGGTTGATGAATGACAAAATCATTAAACAGTTTGTCTTAAAGCAGATAAGCACCACTTTCGGTCATAAAACTGATTGAAGTTGGCCTCATGGTTGAAAAGATATTTATTTATGTCATTTTGTAATGAGGTATCAACGTTAATTTTTTGTTTTGAGTGACCTGTGACAAAAAAATCTTCGTCGCAAGCATTTTTGTCATGAAATATGCATGGGAAGTGTATATTAAATTTTAGCTGGAAGACCTAGGCATAGATGAGAGAGTAATATTAAAAAGATAGGAATGTGGTTTGAACATGGTAATTAATTTTCTGGCTGAGAAGATAGTATGGAAAATCTTGACTATCTGAGCAACTGTAAGATTCTCAGGAAGGGCTCTACTGTACGAGTGCTTTCAAATGTAACATTTGAATACTTTAGTTGTTTGTTAACATTCTGTGAACTGGTTTCAACTGATTCTGAATCTATCCCAGATCTTACCAGCGTTGAACCAGAATGTGAGGTTACTCTTCCGACTGAATTTTTTGTTTCAAGCAGTTCAAAGCCCTGGTGAGGAGGAAATGGTAGGCAACGGATGTTGCAACTGTCCCTTGAGCTTTCATACACTGTACAACACCTCTGTGCTGGTGGCCTGGTGCCTCGTTCACACGTAAAGAATCTTACTAGTTCATTTCTGTTCATGGGTCATGCTTCAGGTCAATCTGACCTAGAAGCAGATGGGTTACAGGTGTAGTCTAGTTAGCAGCGTACCTTATGCATCCAATGCCCCGAAGAGCTGGAAGTTTGCGTAAATGCTGTCTGCCTACTTCCAAAGCTGTTCCAGTCTGTTAGGACATGGTAACTTTTTATCCAAATAACAAAATGTGATAGGAACGAGGCCGTGAACTTGCATTTAAGATGATTTTTCCTTGTAATATGTTGATCTCTCTCTGGGGATTTTGTAGTTATCTGGAGATTCTGCCCAAGAGGAATAATAAAATATGTGTGGCCATTTTGTGATGTATTAATATGTATCATTTGGTATGACGACTGAGGAAAACAGTCTGGTATTTGAAGTTGAAGTTTGTGCTTAAATGTGTGTTGATACAGCGTGGAGTAATAAATGATGTAAACTTGGCATCCATAGTAGACAGTTCACAGAAACTACTGTTTACTCCTGTAAACGCAGTGTGCGTATTGGTGAAAATTCCTG